TACTGCTGCCACTGTCGCTGCTGCTTCTGCGCGCGCAGCTCGCCGTCGGGAGCCTGGCCGGTGGGAGCCCCGGAGCGGCCGAGGTGAGGCCCGGCCGGGTCCGGGGGCGACGGGGAAGGGGCGGGACCGGGCCTCTGCCCTGGACCCGGGCATGTCGCCCGCAGGAGGCGCAGTCTCTGCAGCCAGGTGACCTGCTCCACGAGCCCCCAACTCTAGGTATTCGCTTCTGCGCGCGCAGCTCGCCGTCGGGAGCCTGGCCGGTGGGAGCCCCGGAGCGGCCGAGGTGAGGCCCGGCCGGGTCCGGGGGCGACGGGGAAGGGGCGGGACCGGGCCTCTGCCCTGGACCCGGGCATGTCGCCCGCAGGAGGCGCAGTCTCTGCAGCCAGGTGACCTGCTCCACGAGCCCCCAACTCTAGGTATTCCTGGGTATCTCCATCATCTGACGTCCCTGCCCCCTCCCACCCGCAACGTAGGACCTGGCTTTTCCAGAGCCCCTGGTCCCAGAAATCCAGCCCATTCCTCAACCCTCTCCTCCTACACGACGCGGCCCCATCCCCTGCCCACCTAAGCATAGCACCCCACCAGCACTTGGATCTAAGAATCCGGATCTCTTGCATCTTCTGAACCCATAGGAGGACTCCCCAAACATCCCAGGAGTCCAGGCCTCCACCCAGTACTCCCCAATCCGGATGTAGCTCGCTAGTCCAGGGGTGCCTAGGCCTGCAGGGAAGCAGGGCCCAGTCGTCTTTGCACCCCCTTAATGGGAACCTGGACTAGGGATGGAGGGAGGAGGGGCCAGAACGCCTGGGTTCTGGGGCCTCCTCCCCCCATGATCAAGTTTAACCCCTTCGGGCTCCAGAGTGAATATGCTGGGGCGGGGGCGGAGCCTGTCTCCCTAGCAACCAGGCCGCGAGAAACCCGAGGGACCTGGGTCACCATAGCAACAGGAGAGCTGGGGCGCCCCCGCCCCACGGGAGCTGTTTCCCAGGGAACAGTCCCTCCACCCTGTCGGTTGTGCAAGTGCTTAGAAGGAGCTGGTCCTGGGGGCCTGAATATCTAGGTTTTAGGGATCAAAGTACTAGACAACCCAAATGCCAACCTTCGCCGGCCCCTCACTGCCGGGTTGGCCTCCTCTTCCAGGCTCCTGGGTCGGCCCAGGTGGCTGGACTATGTGGGCGCCTAACCCTTCACCGGGACCTGCGCACAGGTCGCTGGGAACCAGACCCACAGCGCTCCAGACGCTGTCTCCGGGACCCGCAGCGCGTGCTGGAGTACTGCAGACAGGTGGGCGTGGCCCTCGGGAGGGGCGGGGTCAGGGGGAAAGCATGTCGGAGCTGGGCGGGAGTGGTCCTTAAGGAAGCTAGTTGTGCAAAAGGCGGAGTCCAGGATTTGGAAAGACTGGGGAAACCTGGGGGTCCTAGACCAGCAGAGAGGCGAGGCGAGGCCAGGCGAGGGCACAAACTATCTTGAGAAATCAAGAGGGAGAATTGTGCAAAAACGCCGACTAATAAAGATAGCCTGCGGAGTGGTGGGGTTTAGGAAACGACCATTTAGAAAGGGTGGGCGTGTCAGTGGGCGTGGCCAAAGGAGAGGCGGAGCTAAGGCAAAAAGACCTTTGAAACAAAAGGATGGGGAGCCCTACCTGGGAGTTAGATAGTTAGGAGGTGGGTCTGTAAAAAAGACTAAGACTAAGAGATACTTAGAAGCCAAACAGAGAAAGAGGTAGGGCAGGAAAGAGGGCAAGATCTTTTGAGAAAGAACCCTGATTTCGAGGCAGAGCTGTCCTGAGAAATGGGCTTGGAAAGGTTGAGCCTCGTGGACAGGTGGAGGGACCTTCATAGAGATACTGGACAGGAAAAGCCATGCTGGAGAACTTCGAACTTAGGGGAGAGCACTAAGGAGTGTAATCCATGGGCACCTGAGACTTAGCTACCTAAGGATAGGTAGTTCTACAGAAGATGTCTTTATGAATACTAGAAACTTGCAAAGGGAATGGTCAAGCCTAGACTAGAGAGGCTTAAGTAGGAGAATTGCAGGTTCAAAGCCAGCCTAGGCCTGTAGAGTGAGTTCAAGGCTTTGGAACCTTAGGCGAGACCTGGTCTCAAATAAAAAGTCAAAAAAGGGTTGGGGGTGTAGCTCAGTGGTAGAGTACTTGCTTGGCATGCACAAGGCCCTTAGTTTAATCCCCAGTAACTGCAAAAAAATGGGGGGGGGGGACAGACAGTAAAGAGAGGCATCTGGCAGGGATGGGGCAATGGGTTGATCATTCTTCCCTGGTACCCACAGATGTATCCAGAACTTCACATCGCTCGTGTGGAGCAGGCTGCACAGGCCATTCCCATGGAGCGCTGGTGTGGGGGTACCCGAGGTGGCCGCTGTGCCCACCCCCACCATCAGGTTGTGCCCTTCTACTGCCTGCGTAAGTCACCTGCTGGGGGAGGGGAACTGAAGAGAAGTGTGGGTCTCCCAGAGATGAGGTTCTGAACTTATCTCAGGCCCACGTCAGAAGTGTAGATGCTAGGCAGGCAGACAGACCTCTGGGGATAAAATGCCCAGACTCTGAGGAGTTCTACCCTCAGAGGGTATCACTCTTATGTCTCCCATTCCCCAGCTGGTGAATTTGTGAGTGAGGCCCTGCTAGTGCCTGAAGGCTGCAGGTTCCTACACCAGGAGCGTATGGACCAGTGTGAGAGTTCAACTAAGAGGCATCAGGAGGCACAAGAGGTCAGAACCCTGTTCCACTCACCTCCAGTCCCCAGGACTTAGGAATCCAGACCCTTCCTTCACTAGAATCTAAGAATTCCCACTGGGGTATAGGAATTCCATCCCTCAGCCACTTCCCCCAGAACCAGGTTCACTTCCTCCAATCACCCTATCCTGGCCTCTGCCTCCTCTTCCACAGGCCTGCACCTCCCAGGGCCTCATTCTGCATGGCTCAGGCATGCTTTTGCCCTGTGGCTCCGATCAGTTCCGGGGTGTGGAGTATGTGTGCTGCCCCCCTCCAGCAACCCCAAACCCATCAGGGACAGCAGTTGGGTGAGTGTCAGGGGACCCTCGATGCTCATCCTAAGGCTTCTGAAACTAGGGGTGGGGACTTGGGAGCCTAGCTAGGGATCTTACTGCCTGAGTCTTCTCTTGCTCCCTCAGTGACCCCTCCACCCGGTCCTGGCCCCCCAGGGGTAGAGCAGAGGGAGGTGAGGATGAGGAAGAGGCGGAATCCTTCCTACAGCCAATAGATGATTATTTCGTGGAGCCTCCCCAGGCTGAAGAAGAAGAGGAAGAGGAGGAAGAGGAAAGGGCCTCGCCCACAAGCTCCCACATCCCTGTAGTGGTCAGCAAAGGTGAGGCAGTCTCCCCAGTCCTCCCCAGTCCTTGGGAGTTAGGGTGATATGAGGGAGCCTTAATGTAAAGGTGTTTTCAGGAGTGACCTGATGGGGAGGGGCCCAGTTGGGGGGAGGGAATGGAAGAGATGCCAGCAGCTTTGGATACAGTAGAGATAGGTCAGTCTGTGAAGAACGAAGGAGAGGACCCTGCAAAAGGGTACCTGGAAATGGAGGGGTCATTGGTAGGTCCTCAGGATTGATTTGGCAAAGCTTGGAAGGTTATCTATTCTTGAGCTTTGGAAAAACAGGCCTAGAACTACATCTCCCATGATGCCAGTCAGCAGCTTGTGGCTACATTGGATGCTTGGATGGTCTCCAGTGCATCCTAGGAAATGTAGTTCTCCAGGTAGGAAAGGTGACTTGTTTGCCTGATCCCTGGTCTTGCAGTCACTCCCACCCCAAGGCCCACCGATGGTGTGGATGTTTACTTCGGCATGCCTGGGGAAATCAGTGAGCACGAGGGGTTCCTGAGGGCCAAGATGGACCTGGAGGAGCGTAGGATGCGCCAGATTAATGAGGTGATGATACCAGGGTCCCCAGAACGCTACCACTGTCACAGGATTCCAGAAATACCAGGAAATTCCACACTGACACTACCTCTAAGGGGTACTCAACCATCCTTCAACCCAAGCCCTCAACACTCCCCCCAAGATGGCATTTGATCTCTGACCCACCTAGCATTGCACTGAGTTGCCACCAGTGTCACTCTGATCTATGGCATGGTGACACATTCCTGTAATCCCAGCCCTTGGGAGGCTGAGGCAGGAGGACCTGGAGTTCAAGGCCAGCCTCAACTACATAGTGAGTTTGAGGCCAGCTTTGGCTACATGAGAACCTTTCTCAAAAAACCAGAAACAACAACAAAATATCCTCTGGTATTCCCTCCAGGGAATCCAGGAACCAGTGGGATCAGGAAATCTTCTTAAGTCTTGGAGATGGTTTGGGGGACTCCCTATGTGGATCAGGGTAGATCCTGGGATCCTGAAGCTCTTCTACCCACCCCAGGTGATGCGTGAGTGGGCTATGGCAGACAACCAGTCTAAGAACTTGCCGAAAGCTGACAGGCAGGCCCTGAATGAGGTAGGATGTATTCCTGTGGGTCCCACTCATGCCCATGTCCACTACTGGGAGCGCATTAGCCATTTCAGCCCCTTCTAACTTACCTTGGCCCTTCCCAGCCCTCCATATTTGGCAATGCCCCATGTCTACTGGGGATCAAACCCAGAGCCTGGTACATGCTGGGCAACCACTATACCACTGAACTACAACTCTGTCTTTAGCCCTATCTTACTAGAGTGTCCATTGAGGGCTGGCTTTTGAATCCTCTCCCAAATGGAGCACTTTCTTCTTTGAAGTATTTATGTCCCAGTTGGCCATGCCCTCTTGCTGTGGTCCTATCCCTCTGATTTCACTTTTCCTCAGCCCCTCCCTAATAAGCCCTGCCTCCTAACTCTTGGCCCTACCTCCCTCAACCTTGCTCTTGTGCTGCCCTACACAAGCGGACCTGATTCTGTCAGCCCCTATTCCAACCCTGGCCCCAGTTCATTAGTATCATGGCCTGTCTGGTGTAGCCCTGCCCAATCCTGCAGCCTCGCCTTCCCTTATACCTTAATATCTGACCAGTTCTGTTACCGGATTTTCCCCACCTAATCTTACAGCCTGTACCCTCAGACTGGCTTCCAGGAGCTTAACCCTGCCCTAACTCTACCTGAGCCCATAGCTCATCCCTTCCATTGAGCCTCACACCCCAGGAGTCTGTCAATAAGGAGACCCATTGAATCCCCCCACACCTGCCCTAGACTCACTTTAACCCAAGTTTTCACCCATCTTCTGTCTCCTGCCCCTGTACCCACACCCTCACCAGCACTTCCAGTCCATTCTTCAGACCCTGGAGGAGCAAGTGTCTGGTGAGCGACAGCGCCTGGTGGAAACTCATGCCACCAGAGTCATCGCCCTGATCAATGACCAGCGCCGAGCTGCCCTGGAAGGTTTCCTGGCAGCATTGCAGGGCGATCCACCTCAGGTAAGGTGGCTCCTGGGACAAACAGCAGATAATAAGGGTTAGGGCCAGCCTGGGCAGCCTTTGTCCTTCCCACAGGCAGAGCGAGTTCTGATGGCCCTGCGACGGTACCTGCGTGCAGAGCAGAAGGAGCAGAGGCACACTCTGAGGCACTACCAGCACGTGGCCGCTGTGGACCCTGAGAAGGCCCAGCAGATGCGCTTCCAGGTGCACACATTATTTCCAGTCCCCAGATGCCTCCCTCCCAGGCCTCAGACCCCATCCTTCAGATTCATCTCTTGATGCTCATTTCCTGTTTGTACCCCTTCAACATCCCTGGAACCTCCCTTTTTTTTGCCTCAAGCCTCTTTCCACCCCTCCACTCCACTTCCTGTCCCTTCACTCCCTACTTCCTGGTGCTGGAACCTATCCTCTATCCTGTCCTTTGCTTTTGGACTCCCTTCTTGCCCCTAAGATTCCTACTTCCTGCCCCTTGGAATCCTACTTCCTGTCTCATGGATTCCTACTTCCTGTCCCTGGGACTTCTTCCTTTCCCAGAACCCTCTTGAACCTTGTACCTGTCCCTCACCCTGCCTTCATTCCTAGCCCCACGTGTTTTCCCGAGAACCTCTGTTGTATGCCCTCAGATTCGAATTAAAAGTTCTCTTCCGGTCCACAAATTCTCGTCTGCGCTCTTGAATGTCAAGCCTTACCTCCACCAGTCACGCCTCATGACTTCCTATACCGATCCTGTCTCCCCTGCCACCTGCACATCCCACTGCCCCAATCTGCTTCCTGCATCTATACCTTGTTTCTCGCGTCCTACACATATCTTGCCTCCTGTGCCTCACTTTTCTGGGGACCACTCCTTTTCCTCGTACCTGTCCCTCCCTTTTCCAAGTCGCTCACGCCTGGTCTTTTTTATATCTCTTCCTTCTCTCTGTGGCCCGCTTCCTTAGTGACTTCTTCCTAATGGCCCAGTGCTAACCCACTTCCGGTCTGCTCATTTCCTTGGACCCTTTTGAATTTCTCCTTCATCTTACCTCTTCTCCAGCCTGTACTGCCTGGTTCATCCTTCACACTCACTCCACAGGTACAGACCCACCTTCAGGTGATTGAAGAAAGGATGAATCAGAGCCTGGGGCTGCTTGACCAGAACCCCCACTTGGCTCAGGAGCTGCGGCCCCAGATCCGTGAGTGCCTATTACCCATGACCCCCCCCTTTCCAACTCTGAGGACAAGCTTTTTAACTCCCAATCCACAACTTGCCACTCTTCATTTAAACCACACTAGAACTTGCTGATTCAAATTGAGACATTTTTCTTTGCTCTTAATTTTAATAATTTTCTTCCATTTGGTCTGGGTTCGGCTAGTTGTTTTTTTTTAGTTATCAGTGGTCAACTGTGCAGATAGAATTCTGTTTTCATGTTTTGAGACACACTGACACATCTGACACTATGCAGACTAGGCTAGCCTTGAGCTTTCAGCAGTCTTCCTGCCTCTGCCTCCAAGTACCGAGATTATAGGCATGTGCTACCATACCTGGCTAGATTTTTTTTTTCACTTTTTATTTTATTTTATTTTTTTGGTCTTTTTGGGACAGGGTGTCTCTGTAGTCCCAGCTGGCCTGGAACTCACTACGTAGTCCAGGCTGGCCTTGAACTCACAGAGATCCGCCTGCCTCTGCCTCCCCAGTGCTGGGACTAAAGGGATGCGCCACCACGCCGGCTTTATTTGTATTTTTTATGTGTATGGATGTTTTGCCTCCATGTATGTAAGTGTACCACATGCACGCAAACCCACACAGGCCAGAAGATGGTGTCGGATCTCCTGGAACTGGAGTGACAGATGATTGTTAGCTACCAACTGGGTGCTGGTTCTTCTGCAAGAGCAGCCAGTGCTCTTAACTGCTGCTGAGCCATCTCTCCAGTCCCTGGAGTCATTTTTTTAGGGGGGGTGGAACCCAGAGCTTTATGCATGATAAGCAAGTGTACCCCTGGCTTCTGGAGCCCACATTCTGTTGCTTAAAACAAATTACATGTCCAGTCCAGATTCAAGGAAGGAACATCCACAAGAGCTTGAGTACAAGAAAGTATTACCCTGAATAGCCCAGGTCTAGTGTGACTTCCTTCCAGACATCCCCTGCCTTGGGACTTCAACCTCCATCTTCCCTGCCAGAGGCACCTTCACCCAGCTCCTACACTTAGAGCTGCCGCTCTGATCTCCCAACCATTCTACTATTATTAGGGTGTCCTTCACGTACCCCTTTTGTTTGTGGAGTTGCTAGGCTCACCCCCCTCAACCACCTTTCTGCATGTCCCCTTCAGAGGAGCTCCTCCACTCTGAACACCTGGGTCCCGATGAATTGGAGGCCTCCGTGCCCGGGAGCAGCAGCGAGGACAAGGGTGGGCTTCAGCCTCCAGACTCCAAGGATGGTGAGTGAGCCTAGCTATAGATAACCCGCCCTTGGGAGGTAAGCCTCCTTTCTTTTTCTTTGTGATGTTGGGTTCTTTGGCCTGAAGGAACCCAGGGTTTTGTGCATGCTAGGCAAGCACTCTACCACCGAGAAATTTCAATCCTCTTTGTACTTAAAGAAAAAAAAAATTGAGACAAAGTCTTACTAAGTTGCCCAGGCTGGCCTTAAAATCACTCTGTAACCCAGGCAGGCTTTGCCTAATGTCTCAGCCTCTGGTAGCTAAGATTACAGGCATATGTCATCAGGTTCAGCTCACTGTGTAGTCTAGCCTGGCCTCAAACTTGTGATTGTCCTATTAAGCCTCCCAAATTCTGGGATTACAAGTGTATCGCCATACCCAGATTCTAGCACTCGTTCTAATTCTCTAAGGTCTGGGGCTGTCGGTGCCACCACAGTGAGTGGAAAGGGATAAGGAGGGCTACCTGAGGGTGTGGGGTCTCTGTAGAGTCTTTGGTCCCCCTTCCTCGGTCCCCGGAAGGATGTTTCTCTATTTTTTTCTTTGACGGCTTTCTCTCTTTACTGTTGCACCCACCTTGTCCCTGTGGTTGCCAGCAGACACCCCAGTGACCCTTCCAAAAGGTAAGTGCCACACAGCATAGACCGCAGTCAGTAAATCCCAGTGAACACTATGAACACCAAAGGGAAAAGGGTCCATATATCAGGAAGCCCACGCCACCTAGTGTGGAATCTGGTGCCCTCTCTGACCCCTTCTGAGGTATCTGGACCCTCAAGATTGAGATGGGACTTGGTGGGGGGGGGCAGGGTCCACAGATCAAGATGCTTCATCCTCTGGAAAAGAGAAGCTGTCCCCACTGGAGCAGTATGAACAAAAGGTAAGGAAGTGGGAGACCTGCGGGTATCCAAGGGAAGACAGGGTCCAGATAAGGGTCTGGACCCAGGGTGGAGGGCGGCTGGAAGCTTGGATCCCTTGGTCTAAGTCAAGAGGGGAGACTGAGGACATGGACTTAGGATTCCAGGAAAGGAGAGGGCTGGGGGGATACCCTCCTGAGCCTTTAGGGTATAAAGTGGGGTCCATAATACCTCCTGCTCCCCCAGGTGAATGCATCTGTTCCAAGGGGTTTTCCCTTCCACTCATCGGAGATCCAGCGGGATGAGCTGGTAAGAGGAGGCAGATCCTAGGGGGAGAGGTCAGAGGTCAATGTCTAGGCTGTGGCCTCCAAAGCCACGCAAGATCCCGATGTGCCTCAAAGATGCCCATAATCCCATCTCCTTGCCCCACAGGCACCAGCTGGGACTGGTGTGTCCCGAGAGGCTGTGTCCGGTCTGCTGATCATGGGAGCTGGAGGGGGCTCCCTCATTGTCCTGTCCCTGCTGCTTCTCCGAAAGAAGAAGCCCTATGGGGCTATCAGCCATGGAGTGGTAGAGGTGAGAGGCACAGAGGCATCGGTAGTGTGGGTAGGGGTGGACCTGCAGCTAGACACCCCAGGCACTGAGCCATCCCCTGGCCTTGTTGCAGGTAGACCCAATGCTGACCTTGGAGGAGCAGCAGCTCCGGGAACTTCAGCGGCATGGCTATGAGAACCCCACTTACCGCTTCCTGGAGGAACGACCCTGAACCTGCCCCATGCTGCCTACAGCTGAGCCCAGCTGAGAGGCTCCCTCTCCCTAGAGCCTTGAACCCCAAATCCCAGTCTCTGGTGCGGGGAGGAGGTCTTAACAAATTCATTCTTCTTTCTCCCTCCCAATTCCCAGTTCCATCCCCTTAGAAAATCCCCACGTATTTTCAGCTGCTGCCTCACTAGGGACCTCCTCACCTTAATTTATTTTATAAGTTAATTTATTGCTCCTTAAGGTGACCAGCACCTGGGTCCCAGTGTCTGTCGCTCCCCGGAATTCACTGTTCCACGTTTCCCCATCTAACATCCCAATAAAGTCCTCTTCTCCACCAAGCCATCCTTTGTGTCCATTGGAGAATCAATGTGTAAACACAGCTGGACACTAGTATCCATCTCTACCTAGGCCTTTGCAGGTCTTTATACTGGATGAGGGCTCTTTAAATCTGGGCGGGGTCTGTGGGAAGGACTAGGATGCAGTGAGGCGGGACCCAGCCTTAGCTGGGCTTTCTGCCCTATCCAGGTGCTTTCCATGGTGCTGAATGGGTTGTGACTTCCAGGCCTCTGCAGGCTGCCGGGCTGTACCACAAAGAGGGAGGGCCATGGCTAATTTCTCCAGCTTTTACTTAACGGACAAGTCACTCCACTCCAGCCTGCGAGCCTGGGGCCCTGTGAGTCTGGGAGTGTTCGTTTGTTCATTCATTTGTTGAGATAGGGCCTCATATGGGGCCCAGACTGGTCTCAGATTCACCATTTAGCCAGGATGACCTTGAACTCCAGTTTCTTTTGCCGCCACCTCCAAAGTGTTGGTATTACAGATGTGTGCATCACACCTGGGCCTGAGAATCTACAGATACTCTTCCCATTCCCCAAAGTCTTCATTGCTTTGTGGGGGTGGGGAGTTCATACAATCCCCTTGAGGCATGAATATCCCAGAGCCTTGTGGAGCATGCTAGTCAAGCGCTCCATCAGTAAGCTACATCACCAGCCCTTGGTGTCTGCACACCATCCATAAATCCAAGAGATATATATGTGATGCTTACATTACCTATTGAACCCTCTTGAGTTCCAGTTTGTGACATGCTAGGATTAACCCTCGCCACATACTGTTACCTGTCCCGAGAGGTAAAAGGGTTATTTGTGAAGAAATTTTAACTATATCTGCTACTTAGCAAGTTTTCAATACATTTTAAAACATATTGGAGGAGATATTGGGAAATATAGGTCATTTCTAGAGTGCTTGTCTTGAAATTCTGGGTCCAATTCCCATTACTACATAAAGTAGGAGTGGTAATACATACTTGTAATCCCAGCACTGAGGAGGTAGAGGATCAGAAGTTCAAGGTCGGCCCAAAAGATGGGTAAAGGTGTTTGCTACCAAACCTGATGACCTGAGTTCAGTCCCCAGGACCCACATGGTAGAGGGATAGAATCATCTCCCACAAGTTGTGCTGTGACCTCCCCCTGCCCCACATGTACATAAATCAATAGATGCAATAACAAAAGAAGTTCAAAATCATCCTCAGCAAAATACAACTTCCAGATCAATCTAAGCAATCTACATGAAACCCTGTCTAAGTAAATAAATACATGAATAAAAACAGTTTTTTAAGTTCAAGGTCAGGGTTTGGAGAGATGGCTCAGCAGTTAAGAGCACTTGTAAGCTAGGCAGGGTGGTACATGCCTTTAATCCCAGCACTTGGGAAGCAGATGCAGGTGGATCTCTGTGAGATCAAGGCCAGTCTAGACTACAAAATGAGTTCCAGGTCAGCCAGGGCTACCTAGTGTGACCCTGTCTCAAAAAAAAAAAACAAAAACAAAAAAACAAAACAAAAAGCAAAGAGCACTTGTTCTTGAAGATGACTGGGATCGGTTCCCAGCATCCACAACAGATCACAACAACCTGTAACTCCAGTTCCAGATGATCCAACTCCCTCTTCTCACCTTCAAGGGTGTTACATACACATGGTACCCATACATGCAGGCAAAACACTCATACATAATCATTTTTTGTAAGTTCAAGGTCATCCTCTACTATGTAAAGTGTTTAAGAATAGTCTGGGCTTCATGAGACCCTATCCCAAAACAAAATTACATTCTTGAGACAAAACGTTTATGATACTTTGTGCTATGGCACTGTCCCAAGCTTGAAAAAAAAAAAAAAAGTACATTGGGGAATTCCAGTCATATCTACCTTTTACCTCTTTGATATGGTAGATTTGCCTCTTTAACACAATTGCCCAGCAGATGGCAGTCATGTGCCAGATTCCAGTATCAGTGCATTACAATTTTCTGACAGATGGCCTGGGGAGGGAGTGCCTATTTCTAACTCTCCCAAAGGCCTTATGAGCTAACAGAGGTTCTTCATAAAACATCCATGTCAATACAGGTCATGTATATTAAGTACACACTGGTAGGTGTAAAGAGGAAGAAACCTGTATAATGTGAGTTGCATGCCGCACCACAGCCCATTAGAGAACTTGGTTTGTATCATAGTGGTTTCATCTTTATTACATACATAGTGTACCTTAGTGGTTAGATCTTTATTAAACTCAGAGGAGCCTGACAGAAATTTCCCACTATGCCAAAAGGAAAACAGCCTCACAACCACCCTTGATTAATAAAGCTTACAGCCTAATGGCATTGTTCAATTATTTTTTTTACATTTGTTTAGTGTGTGCATGTGCACACACACTTGTGTGCATATGTGTATATGTGTAGAGGACAGAAGAGTTCATTTTCTCCTTCCACCATGAGTTCCAGGGATGGAACCCAGTGTAAGCTACATGTCCCACCAGCACATTTGTCCAAATGTGACCCCCTTCAGTGAGGCATCAGAACCACTTTCCCTCAACAATATGCCCCAACCGCCCACAAATGAGACCACAACAGTTCAAGTCCAAATCGAGTTTAATTGGGAGCTTCAGGGATACACAGATTAAGGGGAGCGATTCATTAGGGGTACTAGGGTCTGGAACATTGAGTTCTGAATGGACAAAGCAGCCAGAATTCAGGGCACACTAATCCTGGAGGGTCCTTTCAGTGGGTCAGGGGTGTAGGTCCTGGGTAGGAGCCTTGATGGGATAGTATTGGGATCCCATAAGGGGAGACTCCATCTCCATCCCCGTTTCTGGGATTGTAGGGTTGAGTCCAGGTAGAGGATCAGCTGATCCAGTTAGGATAGGGTTTAAAGGCTTCTAGGGTGTTTCACAGAAACAGTCAAGGGGCCTCGATTTCACAGAAATCATTCAAAAGGCCCCTTGTAGGGGGAGGGGGTATCACACCATTCCAAATATTGGGGACTGTTCGCCCCCTCCCCAGCGCCACTTTGAGGTTTTAATGTAAGACCCTAATGGCAGGATATTCCATACATATATATATTATCACAGATCTGCAACATGAGCATACGCTGACTGTCCAACGGGACGGTGGGGACTGGAAAAATCAGTCCAGGTTCTGGATTTGAGAGTCCTAAGAGGACAAGCCTGGGGGTGCCACACGGCTTCTCTTCAATAGCTGCCGGAGCTGTGGGCAAACAAGGTAGAGTGAGACATGAAGGAGGCTGGGTGCATGTGTGAGGCTTGGGGAGGGTTCAGGAGGGTGTGGGAGGGCATGTCCCACACAGACGTATGAACAAGAGTGGGGTCAGTAGGGTTGGGAGACCACAAGTCTAAAGTCAAGATCTGGGGTTGAGGTCACAAGTGGTGGTACATGCTTATAATCCCAGTACTTGAGGTGGCTAAGGCAGGAACTAGGTCAGCCAAGGTTATATATCTGAGACCCACTTGGGATTGGGTATGAACCTTTGTCTGACTTCAGACTTTGGTAGACAGTCAGAAGCCTGAATGGGTGTTCTGGATAGCTTCAGTTGTCAACTTGACACACTTGGGAAGAGGGAACCTCAGTTGGGGAATTTCCTCAATTGGATTGGCCTGTGGGCATGTCTATGAGGCATGATTTTCTTCACTGTTGAGTGATGTGGGAGGGCTCAGCCCACTGTGGGTGGTGCCATACCTGGGCAGGTGGTCCTGGCTTATATAAGAAAGCAGGCTGGTAGCTGGGTATGGTGACACATGTCTTTAATCCCAGGACTCAGGAGGTAGAGACAGGCAGATCTCTGTGAGTTCAAGGCCAGCCTGGTCTACATAGTGAGTTCCAGGCCAGTTGGGACTACAGGGAGACCCTGCCTCAAAAAGACAAAGAAAAAAGAAAGCAGGCTGGGCACAGGCCAGAGAAGAAAGCCAGTAAGCAGCGCTCCTCTGTGGCCTGTGCTTCCATTCCTGCCTCCAGTTTTCTGCCTTGGCGTCCCTTGCTGATGGACTGTGATAAGCCAAATAAACCCCTTCCTTCCCAAGTTGGTTTTGGTTAGTGTTTCATCATAGGAAGAGAATGCAAACTAGAACAGTGGGCAATATAAAGAAAGGTTTTGCTGGTTGGGTTCCCACCTTAGGGTCAGCACTGAATGGGAGTCAAAGGCAGAGGCAAGGGTCAGAAGTCACCCTTAAGGTCAGGACCCAGGGTTGGGGACAGGGTTCAGAGGTCCCAATAGGGGACTGAAGGTCACATCCTGAGGTCAAGATTCAGAGTTTGGAGTACATGGAGTGGAGGTCAGAAGGAGTCACCACTCTGAAGTGTAGGGTCAGACACTAAGGTTAGAGGTCGCTTTGGGGCTGATTTTTCTTTCTTTCTTTTTCTTTTTGAGACAGGGTCCAGCTATGTGCAGCCCAGGCTGGCCTCGAACTCTCAATCTTCCTGCCTGAGCCTCCTGAGTACTAGGATTACAGGTGGATACCACTCAGCAGAAGTCACACTTTGAAGTGAAGTTTGAATAGGGACTGAGGTCACCTTCTGCAATTAGACATCACCCTCTAAGTCAAGTTTGGGTGGAGTTAGAGGACCCCCAGTTAGCTTAGGGGTCAGGTCAGTACTCACCCCGTCAGGGCCCGGCCCGGGCCGCAGCAGGTGAACTGGCTGCTCATTTTCCAGGTTGCGCAGAGTTGGGTCCGCTCCAGCCGCCAACAGATGCCTCACAATGGCCTCCTGGGGCGGCCCAGGGGGCAGGGCAGCTGCCATGTGGAGGGCTGTGTTCCCATGAGCCTGCAACCATAAAGGGAAGATGAATGGGGACACGGAACCAGCTGCCTGGGCCTTCTAAAGTGCATTTAAAGTGCATTCTGTATCCTGCCACATCTACACCCCACACATCCCCATCACAGCCACACTCCACCCACTCCTCTCTGTCTTGTACACATTCTTCACACATCCTACACATTGTACCCTATATATCCACAGCTCATAGGACCCCAACACCTCACTCCGCCCCTCACTACTGTATCTTATACCATTGGCACAGCACAACTTATGCCACCCCACCTTCATGTTGACAAAAGCCCGCAGGTCCGCCCTGGGCAGCTCCAGCAGCAACTGGACCAGGGTGGGGTTGGCAGCCTGCACAGCCAAGTGCAGAACTGTCTTGTTGCTCTTGATCTCCTGTGGGGAGGAAAATGGCAGAGGTCAGGCCAGTCTTCCCCTTAGTTTCCTATCCAAGAAACCTGAGAGACATTAGGGGTGCCTTCCGCAGTTGTCTACCACACAAAGAGCACAGTTAAGGGAGAATGACAATTCACAACAGACGTATCACAGAACTCTACATTTATTATGATAATTTTCCAGTTCAAGAGTCTTTGAGAAACAAGGTTCTTTTTCCAATTCCTTGAAGGCACTCTCTGGACTAGCAGTTGACCTATTGAACACATTAATATGCACCACATCCCATATAGACTATACTGTATCATAAGCACTGGAGTTGGGTGGCATTAATTAGTGGGTTGACTAAGCCCATATCCAGTGCAACATTGATCTATTTCCTTCATATTTTGGAAAAAAAAAAAAAAAT